CACCCTAGAGGAAGAGATCATTCACAGAGCAAAGTCAAGCTCTCTACAGATTTGTCTTGTCAAAACGTGACCAACTGTACCTTTTACATTTCAAGCTTGGAACTACGCTTTTTGAGAAATGTAATAGGAAGGATATATATGAATAAGGAAATATTCTTATTTAATGTTTATCTATTACTTGGAGGTCAAGCAAGTTGCTACTTATATATTGTAATCAATTCTATTGAGATCAATAAGATAACGATTTAGAGCAATACCTAATTTAACATGGTATCAGAGCCTCCCTTTGACTTGTGTTAATTCTTTGCTCTCAAAAAAAAAAAAACCCTAAAACCTAAAACAATTGTCTTAGCCTACGTTCAACATGTCCGGCAGCAACGACAAGAAAGAACCAGTGTTGATCTCACCTTATGCGATTCAACATGGCGGACATAGTGGTCAGGTTCTGACTTCTGTGCTCTTGAATGGAGAAAATTATGAGCGATGGTCGAAGCTCATGATCAACGCCCTCCGTTCAAAACGAAAGCTTGGTTTCATTAATGGAACTTTGCGACGACCAGACGAAGGTACGATAGGATATGGTGAATTCCTTAATCATCGGCTGGATCATAGCGAGTATCGATGAAAAACTGTGTTCTTCTATCTCGATCGTGGATGATGTCTCTGTCATGTGGGAGAGCATCAAGTCGCGATTCTCGGTAGGAGATGGCACACGAGAACATCAACTTCATGATGACATTCGCAAAACTAAACAAGACGGACAGACCGTAGAAGAGTACTACGGCAAGCTCAAAATTCTGTGGGATGATCTCGCCAACTTGGATAAAGGTTTCTCCTGTTGCTGTAAGAAGCTGAGTTGTGCTTCAATGGTGCAGTTTAACAAGAAACAGGACGGGCTTCGTATTCACCAGTTCCTTATGGGTTTGGATAGCCGCAAATTTGGCACCACTCGTTCGAACTTGCTGGCACGTCTTCCTGAGTTGAACATTGATCAAGACTATTCACAGATAATACAAGAGGAGCGACATCACAATGTCACCCGGGAAGAGGAGCCACCGAGCACAGCGCTTGGGTTGTCGGCTTCTGTTTCCAAACAGTCACTTCTCTGTACTCACTGTGGACGGGTTGGTCATGAGAAACATCAGTGCTTCAAGATTATTGGCTACCCCGAGTGGTGGCCGGATCAACCAACAACAAGTAAAGGATCTGGTAATAGTTCTGGTCGTGGGAAAAACTCGACGCGAGGACGCGGGAAAGGACGTGGCTCATCAGCTGTTGCCAATCAAGTATCAACAACATCTTCCGCTGGTATTCCTTCACTGACACCAGCTCAATGGGCTTTGTTAGCTGGTTTTCTCGACAGTAAGAAAGATGGTTCCGGTGAAAAACTCTCCGGTAAGATTGATAAGTTAATTCTTTATGGGACTCACAGTCGTTTTGATCTGATCATTGACTCTGGTGCGAGTCATCACATGACCGGTGATATCACCTTACTCACTGATCTGCAGTCGATTGCTGCATGTCCGATTAAATTACCTAACGGTGGTCTCACTTGGGCCACTCGTCAAGGAATATTACATCTTGGTTGAAAGATGATCCTCCGCAATGTGTTTTATGCCCCTGATCTTCATATTACACTCATATCTGTTGCTCAATTACTGGATGATATTGCTAGTTCTGTGATTTTTACAAAGCAATTTTGTTTGATACATGACCTAACTTCGAGGACTTTGATTGGTGCGGGTAAAGCACGTGACGGGGTTTATCATCTGACCGGTGCGGTTCTTCCTCAGGCAAGCCAAATTGGGAAGATGGATACTCGTGATTTATGGCATAAGAGAATGGGGCATCCCTCTTCGAAAGTTCTTAGTTTATTATCTACTTATGGTGATTTTTCTTCTGGTGTTAGTCGTTTAGACGACAATTGTGATGTTTGCTCTCGAGCAAAACAGACTCGTGTTTCATTTTCTGAAAGTTTTAATAAAGCTGAAGATTTATTTAGTCTGATTCATTGTGATGTTTGGGGACCTTATCGTACAAAATCTACATGTGGATCTACATATTTTCTCACCATAGTTGACGACTTCTCCCGTGCTGTTTGGACACAACTTTTACGTGAAAAGTCGGCTGTAACAACGGTGGAAAAGAATTTTGTTTCTTGGGTAGAACGACAATTCGGAAAACAAGTCAAGACGGTGCGCACAGATAATGGGACAGAGTTTCTGCCCCTCCGACATTATTTTGCTGAACACGGCATATCTCATCACACTTCATGTGTATATACACCGCAACAGAATGGTCGGATTGAACGAAAGCATCGGCATATCCTCAATGTTGCGCGTGCTTTGTTGTTTCAATCACATCTTGCTATTCGATTTTGGGGAGAAAGCAACCAAGCTGCGTGTTTCATCATCAATCGCACACCGTCAATGATTCTTTATGGCAAGTCTCCATTTGAAATCCTCTACAACCGGCCTCCTGATTACGGTATCATACGCACTTTTGGTTGTCTCTGTTATGCAACGCAAACGTCTAAAGCCAGTGATAAATTTGCAGAACGAAGTTCTCGCTGTGCTTTTCTCGGTTACCCCTTTGGCAAAAAGGGTTGGCTTGTTCTTGACCTTAAGACGCAGAAGACCTTTGCCTCACAAGACGTTCACTTCTATGAGAATGTGTTTCCCTTCGAAGCTTCACAGTCTTCTCCGAGCATAGATAATCCCGACATCGTGGAAAATCCAATAAACTCTTTTTCTGACCCATATATTATTGGAGATCCTGATGAGCATGGTACTTATCTTACTCAATCTAGTTCCTTGAAGCTTATAGACCGGTTGAAGTAGATAGAGCCAATACAAGTAGAACTATACCGTAAGTTAATCTGATTGAGATGCATGGGAAATTTGGCGGTTACAAGTTTTGGAAAGAAAGGAAACATAAAGATGTTAAATGATTTTGAACAGTATTCACCACAGAATCCGGTATCAAGATGATCTCAAGTTTTAACATTTAAACAAGAAAATCTCATTGAAGATGAACCAGTCATCAATCTGATGAGAAAAATGAATGAAATACTTGAGAAATTTGGCCACCACAAGACAACAGGCTTTATGGGCTTCAACAACTGGTTCTAATCATCGGCGATGGAAAGTTCCATGAGCGAGAGATACTGAAACGATCTGTGAGAAAGTTTCTCCAGCAGAAACGTATGGTGGTATACATACTTCTTGATGACGCTGAACAATCCGTTCTTGATTTAGTTAGGGTTTATCACATTCTTCCTATCAAAGATTTAAAATATGAGACTGATTCAAACTAAGGCTAAAAACTGGTTTTTA